AATATTATATATATATTTTAGTTTGTTAATTAACAATACTCTTAATAATCTACTCAAACAATAACTTATTGTTTGACTTTTTGAAAAGTTTTTGTAATACCTTTCTCTTTTTTTTTTCTAATTTAATTAAATAAGATAAAAATATTTAGTTAAATTAATTAGAAATTATTTTATTTAACATTAGTAAAGAATTTTATCTTTAACCTAGTAGTTAACTACTAGGTTCCACTAATATTTCATAACTAGTTATAACTTATCAGTAGAAATAAAAAACAAATATGAACCTAGTAGTTATCCAATTTAACAATTTCTAAACAATTTTCTAATAATTATTTTAAATGTGAAAAACTGAAATAATTTTAATCATTTTTTATTTATATTTCATTTATTTACTTTCTTTTAAGGCTAGCGGTAATTGCCGGCAGTGCCGGCAAATAATTTTGAGATTAATTGCCGGCAGCGCGTGTAAAGAAATAGTTTGAATGTATTAAATACAGTGATTTCGTTAGTTTCCTAGTTTTGTTGTTAGAAAAACAATTTAAATTGTGTATTTATTTATTTTATTATATATTTATTTATTTAAATTATTTTTATAACTTTTTTTACGCCAGTATTTAAAAAATGAAGACTTTTTTTGTTAATTATATTCTGCCTGTCCAAACCAAAACCCTCAGTCAATCTATCAATCTATGTACAGGTCTAACCCTTTCAAAGTCAGTCGGTGGTATGTATATTTTAGCTTGCCCATGCCTTTTCAAGTCAGTCTTTAAATTTAGACATTGCCGCGCTTATATCTAAATCAGTCGTAAGCATACATTGTTTCGCCTACGGCTATATCAGTTGTTGCATGTACACTTTAAGGCACCTATTAAACTTAAATCTAATAAATGGAAATTATCAATAAACAAAAATTAACAAACACTAATGATGGGTAATTCTAATAAAAATTAGTACTGTTTGAAATAAAACATAAATTTTCACGAAAAAATAAGAATTTATTGACTTCTTCGAACTCAGGACGCCACCGTGAACTGAATTTATCATTTCCACTAAGCTACGCAAGCATTTTGAGGCTTGCAGTTTTTAACTTTATATTTTGAATTATACTGCCAACAATTAATTAGGCCATGAAAGCCAAAGTTGAATTTTCGATTAAAAAGAAAGTTTTCGAAACTCGTTTCGGTAAGTTCGAAATAATTATAAAGTAATTAATTTTGCATCGAAACGATTTTTTACTTTCGGAATTGTAAAATTTGCTTCGAAATATTTTTGCGATTTCGAAAATCGGAAAATATTACCGAAAAAAATTTTTACTTTCGAAATTGTAAAATTTGCTTCGAAATATTTTTGCTATTTCGAAAATCGGAAAATATTACCGAAACAATTTTTTACTTTCGAAATTGTAAAATTTGCTTCGAAATATTTTTTTTATATCGAAATTCTGAAAATATTACCGAAAAAAATTTTGAAATTCTAAAATTTGCTTCGAAACACTTTTGTGATATCGAAATTCTGAAAATATTACCGAAAAAAATTTTTACTTTCGAAATTGTAAAATTTGCTTCGAAATATTTTTGCTATTTCGAAAATCGGAAAATATTACCGAAACAATTTTTTACTTTCGAAATTGTAAAATTTGCTTCGAAATATTTTTGTTATATCGAAATTCTGAAAATATTACCGAAAAAAATTTTGAAATTCTAAAATTTGCTTCGAAACACTTTTGTGATATCGAAATTTTGAAAATATTACCGAAAAAATTTTTTACTTTTGATATTCTAAAATTTGCTTCGAAATATGTTTGTTATTTCGAAATTCTGAAAGTATTACGCAATATACAAATATTACTATTAAAGTCTAAAATTTGCTTATATTTATTTTATTACTGAAATTATACAAAATTTTTTAAAAATGTTTTTATAAATAATTAAATTTTAAAAATTAACATAAAATAATTCTTAAAATTTTTGGTGTTACGGCACAGTGGTGGCAGAACTACCTCTCACTATTTATATAACTACCTCTCACTGTTATATATATATATAACTACCTTAACTTACCACGGCTGTTTTACTCAATATAAAAACGAGCGTGACGTCATGAGTTTATCAAAAAAAAAAGTATTTCCGCATAAAAAGTATAAAAATTCACAAACTTTAAATTAATAGTAACTTTTTTATATAAATGCTTTCATCTTGCAATTAAAAAAATATGAAAGATCTATCTTTCTTTGTTAAATAAATATTTACATTAATTGGTATAAAAATAAATATTGCCAAAATATTTTTAATAATTTAGAACCACTTTTCTAATTTTCGCATATTTTCCGGAAAACATGAGTTGGGCCAACTAAGATTTCATAACATAGCTCTGTGCTTGATAGTTGAAATTTGGAACACTTAACCCTAAATGTCCATTCTATCAGATTCCTGCATCATCCTAGAGATTTTATTACAAAAAGACTGTTTTTAAAGCATTTATATTTTTTAACTGATCGTTTTTAAATGCAAAACGTAACTTTTTTGATGGATGACGTAAGTTAATGAAATTTCAACCTTTTATGCAAATGAAAATAAAAAAATTATTTTACGTGCCTTCAGCTATGTTATGAAATATGTTTTCAAAAATGTCATGTTTTACAACTAATCTTGTTAGTTTTAGGCGTACATTTGTGTTGACGTTTTTTTGCGATGACGTAACCTTTATGCGTTACGTCCCAAACTATTTATTAACGAATATTCTTCAAACAACTGTTTCGGCGAGTCAATTTTTGAAGTATAAAGTAAACAAAGTTACGCGGAATTTTTCTCTTTGGATTATCAAACTAATATCAGATAAGTTGTAAAATCCACTTTTATCTAGTGCATATATTTGTTAATTAATATTATTTTATTTGTTTTTATTATATTGATTAATAAGTCAATATTATTTTCATAACTATGTACTCAACTGAGAGGGAAATTCTAAAACAACATATTGGGTGGAAAAATGGTTGGGAAGATAGGGAAAAATGGTTGGGAAGAAGCGATTAATTAGGACAGATAAGATCAGTAACAATGTGATTTCCATTTTAATGACAGTCTTTAAAATAAGAAGTGATTTATTTAGTTTTATGAGTTTTCTTTTGCCAATTGATTTTGATATGCCTAGTAATGACGAGTTTGATAAAATGTGCCTAAAGCTAACACGCCAAAAAAAAGAAATATCAAAAAAATTTTAAAGTTATTAAAAACGAAGAATTTTTTGAAATGCAACTGTCACAAACTCCACCCAAAAAAAAAAAAATCAGCAGATGCAGATGACTTTTTCACTCTAAATAACAGTCAGGAGCTACTGAATCAAATTGATCAATTAACTTCTGAAAATAAAACAAATTTGAAGCAAATAGAAAAATTATAATGCAAGTATTTAAGTTGGAAGCTGAAATAACAGATTTAAATTCTAAAAATAGGGCTCTCAACACACATTGTAACTCATTAAGTTCTCAATTAGAGACAATGAGTATTAGGCAAAAACAGGAGGAGCAGTCTTTTTTTTAAAAAAAAAAAAAAATTAAAACAGCACAGCATAAATTTGCATCTGCTCATGCCAAAAATGTAAAATTGCTAAAAAAAATTATCGAAAAAAAAATTGCAAAAATTAGTGATTTAAGCCAGAACAGTTGCCAAATTTGCAAATGTTTTGCTAGTAGCGATAAGGATTTAGTTGTGGTTGATTCTTATTTAGACTACGACAACATTGGTTCCTCTGAATTATTTTGTGGGTTTAAATTAAGTAATCCACAGAATATATCAGTTAAAAAACCAATAATTAGTAAAAAATATACTTACATTAAGTTTGGAAATGGTAAACCTTATTCTAAGTTAGGTAGGCATGCTGCAGCTAGACGATCTAAACTTGCTTTTATATTCCTTCGATTATTAGCTTGTTCAGATTTAGAAAGTGATTTGTCTATGTTGTTTTGTGATTCTATGTCTTGTGAAAAGTCAATATTTTGTTGTGTTGCAAATAAGTTGGGTTTAGTTAAGCAGTTAAATGTTTCTGATGCTGTAGAGCTACATAGCCAATTAAGGATGCCCACGGCTGAATTCCGTAGACTAAGACGTATTCTGTGTAATCTTGGTGCAAGGATTCTCCCATCTGAGCCCAAGATAAAACAAGAACAAGAAATGCAGACAATGCATGTCAATAAAGAACATGTCACTGTGAAGTCCATGTTACTTTATCCATCTGCGAATGAAGCACCTTGTTTATTATCTGTACTGATGGTCAAGAATTTGACAACTTATATTGAAGAAGCTTTTAATAATCTTTATGTATGCGACCACCTTAATTCAGATGTCAGTTTTGGCGAAGAAGTATGGCTCCTTTTTGCTGGTGATAAGGGTGGGAAATATATGAAATTCCATTTTGAAGTTGTCAATTCTAAATCATCAGGGTCTGTATACGATGTTCACTTGTTTTGTATGTATCAGGGTTCAGACTGTCATGAGAATAGTTCTCGGGCATTTTGCCAACGACATTAAAAGAATTTAGTCGTCAGATTTTAAGCTAAATAGCAAAATAGTCAGGTTGTTCTTAGGTATAGATTTTCATTTTATCGATGATGTTCTGGGACACCAGGGTTCAGCTGCTAGCTTTCATCAATATATAAATTTATTTGCTATTGTGTTTCATGCATGCTTTCCAAATGAAAGTATCGCACGAAAAATGCATGAACTTATTTTTAATGTGCCATTATTTGTAAAATTCCATAAAACTATTGGGTTGCTAAGTGAAGAGGAGGGAGAGTGTTTGCATAATAGCGTAAATAAGGAATTAAAACAGTTGTATTCAGTAAGAAATCAGGAGCAGAAGCTGCATCTTGTTTTAAAAGGCATTGAATTGCACAGCAAAGCTGATAGGAAGCTTCACGCCTCTAAGGTGAGAAAGTGTGTTGTGTGTTCTGAGTGTGGCGAAAATTCATTTTATAGACAAGGTCTTTGTCTTGTTTGTGGTCATCAAACTTAGTTAAAATATTTAAAAAATTAAAAACAACAACAACAAAAAAAAACTATTTACAAGTAAGATAAATTATATGAGATCTTTAATTTATATATAATATAATTTTATTCTGTTCTAATATCTGTGTAATGCTAGTTTAAAATATTATTTTTTAATATATTGATTTTTTATATTAGGTAGGTGCCCATTCTGTTCCTATCTTCAGAAGTTATTTATACCTATGCAATACCTTCGCTCAGGTTAAAGAATGGAATACTAGTCTTGCATCAAATGTATGTAAAAATCTAGCTTTTATATATTAACTTGTGATCAGAGCAACTGGTATGTTGGTTGGGTATCATCTTGTATGTTTGTGTATTTAATTTAAAAAATGTATTGTCCTTCATTATATGTAACATTTTTTTATAGATATTTTACATATCCATTCGATGTTTATCACCAGAAGTTAGTTCTACCTTTGCAGTACCTCTGCTCTACATACCTCCTCGCTGGTTAAAGAATGGAATATAAATCTCATATCAAGTTGGTGTAAAAATTTAGTTCAATAAATTAAGAATTTGTAAACGTTATCAAAACTTTGAGTGGAGCAATTGTTTTTCTGGTTTAGCATGAGTATGAACCTGATATCAATTGGATATACAAAGATAGTTTACTACTTAAAGAACCTATCAGTAAACCAACTGATTATAAAACAGTTTTTAATGGGAATAAAAACAAATTTTCAAAAGATTTCAATTAGCTATTTGTATACTCAAACACTTTATTTACTGAGAGAAAAGACTAGATTCAAGTATATAAAACAATTCTACTACCAAAAGCGAGGTTAATTCAAAAACTTAAACTCAAGTTAGGTCATGAATTATTTTATTAGACTTGGCAAGTCTTTATTTATTAACAACTTAACACCATATTATTAGAACTGTATGCACAGAAAAAAATAAATGCTTAAGCTTTAAATGTTTTGACTAAATATTCCAAAATCGAAATCTGGCTTTATTTTGCAATGCAATGAATTTATTGGCTTAGGAAAATAAGTTTCTAAAACAAGAACTCCTAGGTTTAAAAATGTACTCTTTTAACAGCTAATCTCCCTTTTAACTACATTTTTCATAACTTTGCGAAAAGTGCGGTTTGCTTTCAGACCTCAATAAAGTCTGTTTTAGCAATCCTTAAACAATTAAGTAAGGTTTTTTTGTTTCTATAATAGTCAAACAATGGGTATATTTGAGAATAACTATCAGAAATAAATTTTTCTGATTTTTTTTTGATAAAAAGTAACATCAAATTATTTGAATTCTGCCAACTTCATTATTTGTCGCGTTTTTTTTAAACTTAAAGAAGTTTTTTTACTAATGCATTAAATGTCGTAAGATGAAACATTTATTGGTGTTTTTATTCTTTTTACAAAACAAAATTATCTTTAATATATTAAAAGTTATAGAAGTTTTAGTAACACCCCTTAAGTCAATATTTTCAAAAAATAACAAGAAGCCGTTAAGCTCCGTTTGAAACAGCCGTGTTACGTCACAAAGTTGCAAGTTAAAAATTATAAAGTTAAAAATAAAATACAATATTAGTTCTACACATATAAAACACAAGTAATAAATCAGAAAAAAAATTTTGTTTTTTTGTTTTGTTTGTTTGTTTAAAATTAATAGTATATATATTTTATTTTAATGAGAAATAAATAAGATACACATCAAGACAACAATAAATGAGTAGTGATGATTTTTTCAGGTTTAATTATTTTAGGAATTTTTAAAAGAAATATTAAATATATAAATATTGAAGTTTTTTTCTAATAGAAAACGTTTAGATGTTCTTTTGAATTGTTCTAAGAAGATGTTCTTAGAATTGTTCTTAGAAGAATTTTATCTTTAATAATGTTTTTTAAAAACTTTTCCATATAAATGGTCCACGGTATTGAATTTGAAATAAATTGAGTTTTAAATAAGATCTTGGAATAACAAAATTATCAGATGGGTATTAATGAGGTATTTCTGCAAAGTAAGAGTGAAATATATTAGGAGATAACGCATGTTTTGATTTAAACGTAAAAAGCATAACTTGGTATATATTAAGTTTATAAACATTAAGGACATTAAGTTTCTTTAAAAGAGATTCATCATTAACAGTTCTGTTAACGCCAAATATAATCCTGCATGAATGTTTTTGTTTGCTATAATTTTTTTTGAGCTTCCCATAACTGGTACTTCCCCATGCAAGATTACAATAGGAAAGATAACTATGAATAGGGGAAGTTAGGGTACAGTGGATTGACGGCCACAGTGATTAAGTAGCATTTTCTCAAAGATTATGATTTTGTTCATCACGATGATGTAATCAGTTTATGTGCGCATATATCACCCATCTTTATTTATAGGTGTTACCACATAATTTTTGAATCTAGGTTTTTGGTAGGTAATTTATATTTTTAGCTAACTAAAGTAAATGTTCTTACCATCTTTATGTTTGTTGTGGAGATCATGGTTAGAATCATTTTATAAGTTAAACTTTTATATTCGGAATACTGATATTTATGCTATATTTTAGTAGTTTAGCTTTTCCTTTAATAACACTCATGTCCCAAGAAATTAAATCTTATTTTTGATGGTGGGGCACAATGAATTGGGGTACCGTGAACCAGTTGATTCACTGTGAAAAAAATGTTTATAAAAATTAAAATGTTTATAAAAATTAAAAATTCACTTTTAAAAATTTCTTTTGTTGTTGGTTAAATAAGTTTTATTAGGTAAAAATTTTTTTTGTGGTTTTAGATAGTTGAATAAGTTTTGTTATCAATAAAATTTAATTTTTATTTTTTCAATCAGAAAAAATTTAAATTATTAAATTTTAATTACCAAAAGTGCGCCAAAAGTATAGTGTACAATGTATTTACACCCTCATCCTCAAAATTATTTGGCTACGCCCCCATTAACTACCACTAAATTGCAGATGTGTTAATTGTTTCACTGTACCCCAGTACTGGGGTATAGTGAATCACTTAACACAACTCACTTAGATAATAAATATTTAGGTTTTAGTGATTTCTTATCATGAAGGACATATTTAACAATCCTTTAGCCTTGACAAAGATAAAATATATATTTTAACTTTCACTCAAATTAAAAAAGAAAGAAATCCGACCCCAACTCTCCCTAAATGAAAAATATATAATTTTCAAAGACTCTGTATTAAGAAAAAGTTTAGCTTTATATAGCATTGAAGTATTTTCGGAGATTTTATTTTCAATAGATTTAATATGATATTTCTTTGATATATTTTCATCTATGATCACTCCAAGAAAATTAACAGTAGACTTTCTTTTAATAATTTTTTTGTTCATAAAGATTTTCGTCATGTTAGGGAAAGATAAAACAATCAAATTTATAATTAGTTGGTTGGACAACAAGATTTCTTATAAAAAGGGCAATATCATAATAGTAAATGATACTGTTGCAAGCTATGCAATTAGTCCTCTTTAGTTACAAATTCTAAACCATTCAGTGACGGGAAAAGATTATTTAAATTTACGAATCATTCACACACACACCATCCTCAATGCATTTTTTGTGCATTTAGTCGGCAAAAATAACCCTTTCAAAGAAGTCGACAAATGTAGGTCGAATTTTAAAAAAAAAGAACCTAATTTTTTACTCAACAAAAATTTTAATGACACCCACCATGTCACACCTACTTGCACCTGCCCTGATGGCAGCTCAATAATTGGATATTGGTGTTTTTTCCAGAATTTAAAAGAATATAGCAGAAAACATATTGTCATTAATTTAGCTGTTTGTAAAATCAGATAAAAAAAAATTCATTCATCAGATAAAAAAAAAAGAATACAAGTGCTTTGAACTACTAAGATTCACAAAATGTACTTTTACTAAAATATGATTTAATAAAGAAATTTTTATGATTACTTGTTTTCTTTAATAAAAACTAATTGCTACAATAAGCTCGGCGCAAGCCTGTTCCGTAGCTGCGTATCTACTAAACCGGTTGAACTAAATAAGCATTCTGATGGCACGAATGTCGCTGGAACTGAAAATATTATCCGTGCAATTTGTGTCAAAACCAGAACAATTTTTGATTAGCTTGGAAAAATTCAATGAAACTATTTTCGTAGCTCTGAAAGTATTGCAGACTGTAATCATTTATTTCTTTTTCAAGTTTATCATTGCTCTCAATTAAATTACAACAAGATTTATCTGTTACTAGTTAAATTAAGTTGATTGACTTTCGTCTTTTGTTGTTAACTAAAGTAATATTATTTGCAATAGGTGGCGTTGACGATAGCTGAAATTTTTTTATGGTATTGTCAGCTAAGCTGTTTGACTAGTTAAAAGTTTTATTTAAACAACTTGTTTCAATTGTTATATCGATTTCTTCGGATTCTTTTAGATACATTTCATAAAATGTTTTTATAAACATTTATGCCTTTGAAACGCATTCATATCTATAGATATCATTTTTGATAAACTTGAATTTACGAAATTTGAAATCAAGAAAAGTAGCTGCTGAGAAAAAATCATTAGCAAAAATGTATTTAAAACGTCCTTTTAGAGACCTTAATAATTCCTTTTGAAAAGTCTTAACTGATTCTGTAAAATTATATTGCGATTTAAGTATTCCATTTAGTAGAGAATACAGTGTTGGAAACAGGAATGTTACTGTAACATATTTCTTTCCGCTAAAATGTTTTTTAGCTCTTTAACTAGGTGTAACAAATCACACAAATCCTCTAGCACCTTAAATTCAGTTGCAGTGGGAAGATAGTCTTTTATATTTTGGAATTCGATGCTTATCATATCCAATGCAGTTTTATTTGTTATTATAGATTCAATCATATTGAATTGGCTATTCCAGCGAATAGCTATATCCTGTACAAACTTTATTTTAGTTTCATAACGAAGTGTTTCTTGAACTTCTTTTAACTTTTTTTGTAACATCTCTGAATGCTTAAATGAACCAACAATGTGCCTGCAGGATATAAATTACCTAAGCAATTTCTAATTTGCTTTCGTTAATTTTTAATTTCTTCAACTTCACTTTCTGTACTTTCTCTGTTAATTAATTTTCCATTACTGTCGTAATCTTTTACTTCGTAACGCTTTGACCCATTTTTAAATTTTTTTACTTTTATATCTCTCGCGTTTAGAAGATCATTAACCAAGAGATTTAAACGATGACCAGCACACGGAATCTTAAGAACATTATCATCAAATTTATTTACTGCAGAGAAAAAATTTGCACCTGAGTCAGTAACTAGTGCAAAAATCTTATTATTGATTGACCATTCAGTGAAGATTTCGTTTAACGTTTTATTTATTTCGTATAACGTTTTATAATATTCAGCTGTTTTCATTTCAGACATAAACTTAAGATCCAGGTTTCGGTCAACTAGAGTCATATTTTTGTCAATAAAATGGCAAGTCACACCGAGGTAGCTGTTTTTACCAAATGATGTACAACTATCACAAGTAATTGTAATGAAATAACATCTCTTCAATTCTAGCATTAAAATTGATTTAAGATTGTCTGTAATTGATGGAATTAATTTCTTGCTCACCCTATTTATGCATGGCATTTTGTAGCTTTTGTTTAACTCACTAAGTTTACAAAATCTAGATGACGTACTATCGAAATCGGCTGATCGGTACCAACAATAAAATTCACCAATAACTTGTTTAATTTTTTTGAACAGTCTCTTCAAAACCATTCTCATTACCGCTCTCAATATCGGATATATCGTCATCGTTGAGTAAAGTTGTTGATTATTTAGATATTTTAGAATTAATACAATGATCAATTGATAAATGGGATTGCATTGAACTGGTCGAATTGTTGTAAGCTAAAATCTTATAGCATATGCTGCATTTTGTTTGATTCTTTTGGTCCATTTCGAATAAACAAAGCTTCGTTTTCTTATTCCTTTCTTAATAACGGATTTATTTTTTTTTGACATTGTTTATTCAAACTAAAAAGCGAGTAGTTTTTTTATTTGTTCGTATGTAACAAATATTAACAAATTAGTAACTCTTGTTAAAATAAATTTGTACCACATGCTACTTTACTTACGTACCGAGATATTAATGAGATTGTTATAACTTTAATATAAAGTTTGATTTTTTTAGAGTTGTGTAACACAAAAATCGCAAAAATCGATTTAAAACCGTTGTAAATCTCTAAAAAAGCACTAGAGAGTAATTAGCCGTTTACATGGCAACAATGATTTCATGTCATGCGTTTAAGGCCTCAAGGGAATTGCCGTTGAGGAATAATAATTACTTACGTGCGTGCTGTGAACTATGCATTCTAAAAAGGGAGTGTCAAAATTCTAAAAATTTACAGATATTAAAAATAAAATTCTTTACCGACTCTGGTGTCTAAAGTTACGCAACTTTTCTTTCAAATTTACGCTATTCAAATTAAGATGAATTTGATTTTTAATCATTGTGTTTTCGAAATAAAAAAAGTATTTTCAAAAGAAATTTTTGTGTAATCAAAACGACAGGCAAAAAAAAACTTTTTATTTATTTTATAACGCTATTCAAGCTATCAAAAAGGCTATTCAAGCTTTTGGTGAGGGTGAATATAATCCCTAAAAATAATTTTATAAAATTGAAAAGTCATGATGCATAATCTAATCAGGCGAGAGAGGTGAAGAAGAAGGTATTGTTTGTCCCGCGCAGCAGATGTCCATGGAATATCAATGAACTGTAACTTATAACAATAACTTCGTATAAAGATAAGCAAATTCCTTAAGAAAGTTTACTTTTTTTTTTTTTTTTTTTCTGTTTACATTTGCCGTAAAATAAATACTATATTTTACAAGAACAAAGAAAACAAGCCTTCTGAAAGAAGATCTACTGATCTTATCATCAGAACCTTTACAATTTTATCATACCATAAAACTGAAAATATAAATCCAAAAACGGCCGTAATAATAAATAGGCCGTTGCTACTTGAAGCGCAATGCGCTCTGAGCAGCCATATGCTGCTCGGAGCGCATTGCTTTGTACGCATGTTCTAAATCTTGTTGATGTTTTGTACAATTTTGATGTGATTTGTTTTTATTTTGCGATAATTTTCTCGTTTTCTTTTCGTTCAAAATAATGTCGCTAAAAATTCATGATACTTTCTTATCTTGGGATGAATTTTTTCAAGCAGTTGAAATACATTGTAATAAAACATTCCAACCCATGGTTAAACATGGTTGCAAGCTAACGGTAACAGCTAATGCTAAGATCAAGCTCGACCAAAGACCTTATCCTGAAATGTTTAAATACGTGTACTATAATTTAATTTGCACACATGGTGGATTCAATTCAAGCAAAGGAATAGGGAAAAGAAATTCAGGGTATATTTTACTTACATAAATGCTTGCAATCTTAACTATAACATACCTATATTGTAAATATATTTTATCAATGAACAAATACTTTACAATGTTTTTGTTAAAAACAGGGTGGCCACTGGTCATAGATTCATGGAAATGTCATTGATTTTTATTTGGTCATGGAATTCCTAAATTTCCATTGAAATGTATGGAAAATTTATGGAACTTTTTAAAATTATCTTTATTTTTTTCTACTTGTGATATTTTTAGGATATTTGCAAAGAAAAGTACTAATATGTCTAATCTAAGTCTTTTATAAAAAGATAATTTTGTAATGTTAGCTATAGATTATTATTTTAAACAGGTCATTTCAATCTTTTCAAATTTTAGTATTTATTAAAATATCATTTTAATAAATAAAAGCACACTTTTAAATTTTGTACTGGTTTAAGTGTGTTGTTTAAAGTTAAGTTTACTGATAGTGAAATTGACCAAGTGGCAAATGCTAAGTGCATGGCAAGTACTGAATATAGTCGTGGAAAAGTAATAAAAAAAGTTATGGAAAAATCATGGAATTTCATTTTCAAATTTGAAAATGATCAAAGTGGCCACCCTGTAAAACCATAATATATTCTTTATATACTTATATATATATATATATATATATATATATATATATATATATATATATATATATATATATATATATATATATATATATATATATATATAAGACTTTGTGTACACCTAATATATAAGACTTTGTGTACACCTATAAATATGCATTATTATCTGTTTTAAAAATACAAAAAAACTGTTATATTAGTTACTTTTATGATGATGACTTTTAGATCAAAAACATATAATGATGATGATGATGAATTTTAGATCAAAAACATATAAAATTAAAAAGTTCAAGAGCATTTGAACTTTTTTAGTTGTTGTCATTTTAGATCAGCAAAAACTGTCCAGCTAAAACTTATGCTGCTTTAACAAAAGATAGAACAAAAATAATTATTAAACAAATGATAGAAACGCACAATCATGTTATTGGTAAAATTATTTATCTATTATTGGTAAAATATTTAAAATTTGAAATGAATGTTATTTTATCATTTTTTATATATTTAGTTTTGTAAATCTGTTATTAAAGTTCAGCTTTTCACGGTGTACTGTTTAATTTAAAAAAACTTTAATTTAAAGTTTTTTAAAATCGCTTAAATAGAATGAATAAATAAAATGTTGTACAATGAAAGACTACTGTGAATGAAAAGTATGCTGTGAAAAGCTTTTTTTTAAAAACCTTAAAGTTAGATATTTAAATGAATTATGAAAAAGTAATTTTTAGTATCATACAACCTGATTAAATAAATTATTTTGCTTTACAGATCAAGATCTTTACAAACACTATGTCAAAAATAGAAAGCTATCAAATGAAGAAAAGGCCAAAGTTAAAGAACTGAGTCGTCTTGGTGTTACTACTAAAGTAATTGCTGATGAAATGAGAAAGAGTACAGGAAAATCCATAGTAAATAAGGACATTTGGAACATTAAGGATAAAATTCGTCAAAAAGTAAAATCTATTACTTCATTGCTATTACATCTATTACTTCATTCATAATTAAATAAATGAATATTTATATATATAAATTAAATAAATGAATATTTATATGGAATTTTCTAATAAAAATACAATTACGAATGAATATCAACATATTGATTTCTTTGCCAAAAATAATGAAAGTCTATATATTGATGACAATGTAAAAGATGAAGTCACTGGAGTACAGGATGATCATATTGATTTTACGACTGAAAGTATGTATCAACAAGAACAGATAAATGAATCTTTAGATGTCCAAAGGTTAAAACTTATTAAATCACCACTTAAAGTTGCTAAAAAAGGCAGGCCTAGAGGTTCTGGCCAAACAGCATTAGGGTTAACTAAGAAAACAGTAAAAAGGAAATGCTGCTTTTGCAAAAAGTGTCATCCTGATAAGAATTTAGGGAAGGGATTTAAAACAAAATGGTTGAAATGCACCAAATGTGTCAGATATTTTCATGATGTGTGCTTAGGAGATAAGCATGATTTACATTTATGTTTTTTTTGCATTAGTTAAATAGAGAATAGTTAATAATAACAATGCTTTTTCTTTATGTTTTTATATAACATTTTTCAATAAAGTTTCATTAAAGTTTAGAAGTAAAACCCTTATATATAATCCTCATTTTCATGTGAAGAGTTTATTTTCAAGATGTAGTATAAGTAAAAAGTAAGAAATAACTAATAATAACAAGTAACTTTAAATACAAACAACTTAAAATAAAATTTATTATTGTATATTTGCTAAAAAATAATAAATTGCAAATTGCATAAAAATTATTTTGTAAAGTAAACAATATTTAAAGTGGTACATTAAAACAAAGTTGCTCATACTGCATTTTTAAAATAAACTGATTATGTAGTCAAGAATAGTTTGAACTCCAAAATCTTCCAATAGTAAATGTTTACGTTAAATTTCCCATTATTTAAGAAATTGTTCAATTTAGTATTATCTAAACCACACAATTGTGGAACTATAAACATTAAATTTAAAGTTTCACTTATTTTATTTTAGATATCGATAACAACATATGGTTGCCATATAATTTGAATATAATATTTAAGATTAGTACTGACAAACCATTATGGTATGCCAGCATTGATCTAAAATATTTATGAACAAGACTTTGACATTTCAAACAGATTTTGCAATCTACATAAATGTAAGCAAGTATCTTTCATTAATTTACTTAAAATAATTTTATCTTGTTCATATTTAAAAAAATGATCAGTTGTTTAATGTGACTCTAAAAGGTAAAAATATAAGAAGCTTTTAAAAAGATTTTTTTTATATTAAAAAGTGATTAATAGTGGTAAACGTACCTGCTAGGATGTGTTGTGAAAGATTTTAGTTTTTAAACTTTGGTTTTATTCACTAATGTGCAATTAAATACTTACAATACATCAAAGTGTTATAGGGACATTCAGATATCTATTATTGATGTTTTTAGTTTAATGTAAATGAATATATCAAGTTTTCGTGAAGGTTTTAACATTTTCAAAAGCTAGACGTAATATTGTTTTTATCAGTAACATTATTTCAGTCAACTTTTGAGTTAAATGATTTAAGAGTTAAATGATTTTTTACTATAAAAGTTCTTGCGGTATAAATTATGACTGTGTGGTTATAATTTATACTGTGGTCATAATTTATATCACAAATAATTTGTTTAACTTACAAAGTTAGAGTTTCCTCACGGTTCTGTTCTTGGTCGTCTATTGTTTTTAATTTACATTAATGATCTAAATAACTCTGTTCACTTCTCGTTGGTTCATCTATTTGCAGATGATACTAATCTCTTGCATGTCAACAAATCATACTATTCTTTAAGTAAAAATATAAATTCAGATCTTAAAGGTATAGTTCATTGGTTAAATGCCAACCTAATATGTCTTAACACCGAAAAGACTATACTAATTTTTTTTCATCTCTTAAAAAAAACTGTAACAACAACAAAAAAACTGTAACAACGTTGAAATTAAAATCAAAAAAAAAAAAAAATAAACAACTATATCCCACAAGAGTTATTAAATATCTTGGTTTGTTAATTGATTGCAATCTTTCGTGGAAATTCCATATTGATGAGCTGCGCAAGAAACTTTATCAAGTTATCAAGTTGGGGGTCAAACTGGCAACTATCATGTTAACAAATTAATGTTATCTCAATGCCAATCCATTAGAATAATAAACTTTCAACCTTTCAAATCAGGTACATCAGATTCTTTTAAAAAACTTCAAATTCCAATCTTTCATTTGCTAGTAAAATTTGCTAATATTCTTTTTGTTTTTAACTCTCTAAATAAAAATTTACCTTCTTCTATCGCAAATTTTTTTATAGAATTTTTTTATAGACTAATTCATACACACTCTATGCAAAATATAAATAATGGAAAACCTATTTTACCATCATATAAAACTCAAAAGTATGGTAAGAATTCTGTTGTGTATCAGTACCTCTGTGAATGGAACAAGAGCCTTGTGTGCATTGTGAATGAGTTCAATAAACTCTAACTCCAAACTCTTTTGTCATTTTTTTCTTAATCTTAATCAAAATCAGTTTAAAAAAATTCTGAAAAATATTTTGTTATAATTTTTTTCTATTACTATAATAATTATCTTTATTTTTTGTTTGTTTTTCTTCTCTCTTTTATTATTACCTACATATATGATTTTTAAAAAGTTTACTTTATGTGTGTCTATGTTGTATGTCTTTATGTTTATTATTAACCATATTATTTTGAAAAATGGTGTCACTTCTTTGATCAGACTTCTGTATGAGTGACACCATCCATACCAATCATTAACTTATTATAATAAGAAATAACATATCATTTTACTTATTATTATAGTAATTATTATTATTTATAATTTTATTTTGTTATTATAACTATTATTGTTAAAAATTTTTACTATTGCTTATTATTTTATAATTATTGTTATTATTATTTACCTTATTATTGTAAAAAAAATTTTAAATGGAAAATAAATAGCTTGTTGTTGATGATCAGATTCATAATAAAATACCAAGTAAAAAGGTTCAAACAACAGAAGATTCAGTTGGTGTGTTCTCAAAATTATAACTTTGAATAATTATTTGATGTGTGGAAGGAAATTTTATTAATATAATTTCAAAAAATATTACCTAATGTAATATTTCCTAAAATTGTATCATTGATAATCAAATTTGGCCTGTCAAGACATGGCTCATTATCTTGTTTTTTTCTTTGAAAAATCTTATTGTTATTATTATTTTAAAAAATAGTGAATTTATGTTTATTTCAAAACAAAAAATAATAAAAAAATTTACTCTAATAATTAAGTTAGTTGCACCCATTTTTGGTTATGGCTTGTGAGGTTTTATATACTTAATAATATAAAAAATATTATTAATACACAAGTTTTTCTCTTATATAGTTAATACAGATAGTTTATAGTAATAAATAGTAAATAACCTAGATTAACTACTTTACCTTAATAAAAACAAGAACACATATAAAATTGCATGTAGATATCTATCATGTAATCTAGAGACAACTATAAACGAAAAAAGTTACCTTAGTTTATTTATGCACATGAACTAGAATTTTTTTCTCAATAAATTGTTCAAAAAACAATTACTTTTAAAGTAATTCATTCATGATTATTTTAGATAGATGCTGGCAAGCCATAATGGATTGCTTAGAACTTATCTAAAACATTTCAATCAAATAAACGCTGCATTAAACTGATGAAATTAATGACTCCCCAAATAAATGCTGTCGTTGTATTTTGATGGAAACAGAATGTTCTAATATAAAACATTTACTTTAAAAATTGCTCAAAATGTTTCTTTAGTAAATAATTTTCGATTTCGATTCAACTGCCAACTAGCTTTATTAAATTTAACTGATCCAAGCAGCTTTATTGTGAAATATAAATCGCACTCTTATTATAAAGTACTTGCGCATGCGTGTACAATATTACGCTCTGAGCAGCTTATGGCTACGTAAAGCGCATTGCGCTCTACAAAGACACTGCGTAATAAATATATAATAATAAATTCATAATATTAATCACGTATCTGTAATAATAATTCTCACAAATTTGTTATAATAATCCATAATAATAAATTTTATAGATCTGATATAAATTAAAGAAAATAAGTTTATTAATATAAATATTATTATAAATCTCATAAATCAAGTTTATACTTCAAGCTAATAGTAACTTAAAATGTCATCCATAGCAAGAATGAATTTTTTTAATTCATTTTTAAAAACAGAAAAACGGATAAAAGAATCAAAATTAGGCAGAACTATTTTATTCCAAAGGTAAGGTGCTCTATAATTAATACAAAATTTATTAAAATTTGTTCTACAAAATGGTTCATTTAGCAAATCTTTATTTCTTAGTGAGTACTTATTAGTAAGTTTTAACGTAAAAAGGTCGTTAAAAACAGGTAGGGATAAATTGTTTTTCCACATATAAGTAAAACATAAAACATTAAAAACATTAAGTTTGTAGACATTAAGTATTTTCATTTCATCAAAGAAAGGCTTTGAATGTGTAGAGCGATCCACATAATTAATCACGCGAATCGCATGTTTCTGTTGGCGATATAGACGTTGTAGTTTACTTTTTTCGGTACTACCCCTATACTTGTAGTTGATAAATGTTATTGTTATATTTACAACACCAATCAAGAACTTTGAGCCAAAAACAAAGGCCCCAAAATTTAAAAAAACCTGTTACTAAAAATAAAAAAGCTCCCCATATTCGGTAAAAGACCCTCAAAAATTTGAAAAAGAGCCCCTAAAGAGCTCCCCCCCCCTAATTATGGGAGGAGCGTGGGGAGTCTATCCACGGCTCTGAGTATATCCTTGCTTTTTTGGTAGCAGTTTCTTTTAAAAAGTAGCAAAAATAAAACTATTTTCTATATATTTAGAGTTTTATTAAAGTTAGTAATTTTATTTTATTCCGTTTTAATCAC